ACAAAGACCTTGGAGTCTAAATGGGGGTGTGGAAAGGGAAAAAAATAAATGAAGTAAGTGATAAATTGTTAAGATGCTGCCTCCCCATGCAATAGGAAAAAAGGGAGAAGAACATTGAGAGCTAAAGGAACTAGGAAACTTTACTTGGAAGATGGTGGGGTGGGTAGCACCTTCGTCTGTGTCTCCTCCTTGTGTGAACTGTTAGCTGTCATTTGACAGATGCTTATTCTCTTATCTCCAAGGACGTATGTTTTACATAGGTACTGAGAAAGGAGGAGGTGAAGAAAGGATGTTTATCTTACTGATGCCCTATGTTTTGCCTTCATGATCATGTCATTGTCATTCAGTAAAGAAATGTTTTTTAGAAAATGATTATCAGTGATTTTTCCTTGGAATAGTCAACATTTCTGTGTCCCTGAATTTAAGGACAAGTTAAGTTTTCCTGATTTGAGCATATGATTTTTGGTTCTTATGAAGCATTGTGGATTAATTCTAAAAAACATAATAAAAATACTAAAAATTAGATTTGTAATCTTAATACATACAACTTGGAATTTACTTAAGTGATTTTACTGTCTTTTAAAACTGTCTTTTAAATACTAACAGGTTGTACTCAAGGGAGTGGTGTTTTACATTATGCTCATGGAGACAGTCAGCAAACTCATCTTTTAAAGCAAGGTAAGAATGAAGCATTCAAGCATACTGTTCTTTTCACCTTTCCTATCTTAAACATACTTTTTTTTTAAATGTGTAGGAAGAAGCTCCACAGGCACTGGTCTTGGCAGTGGGAAACGTCCTAGTCAGGAAGAGGACATGCAGAGTATTGGTCCTAAAGTCCAGCGACAAAGCACTAATTAGGTAAATATTTTACAGCTTTATTTCTTGCTTAAGCCAGAGTGTGTAATCAACATAAATTAAGATAATTTCCGAAATGGAGCTTATCTCTATTTTCAAACCAGAGAATCTGGGGCATAAATTTTAAAAACATATTTATTTGACTGCTCTGGGTCTTAGTTGCAGCGTGCAGGATCTTGAGTTGTGGCATGCTCACTCTTAGCTGTGGCTGTGGGATTTAGATCTCTGGCCAAGGATCAAACCTGGGCTTCCTGCATTGGGAGTGTGGAGTTTTAACCACTGGACCACGAGGGAAGTCCCAGGCATAAATTTTTCAGTGATTGTTACAAAATTAGTTCTGGGACAGGAGCAATGCACCTGTACTGGGCACAGTGCTATACTCGGTTTTACGTCCACTGAACTGATGATCTTCAAATCTGAAAAGCTTATGGTGTTCTGCTCAGATTTTTTCTCAGAAAAAACCATCCTTTTCATTTCCTTCCTATGTGACCAAGAGTCTAAAACAATTAAAGTGACTTTTAACTTTTAGTGATATTAATAATATCCCTTTATGAACTTTTCCTCATATCTTAAGTGTTTATAAATTTATCTATTGTGATAGATCTGAAATCTAAATTATTTCCAGTTTGATAGGTAGCTTAAGTTTTTTTTGATGTTGGTCCTTTTTCAAAATGTCAAAAATCCATGCCTGTATTCTGTTCAATTGGTTTTGGGATACTGTTTTATGATTTAAATTTATATGAAAAGATTTCATACAGTGCATTTGCCAGAAAGACTTTTGTTTCTTCAGTTATTTTAAACTGTTCACATTTTTTAAATCATTGCTGTTTTTTTTAATGTGAACCTAATTAGTCTGTAAATTTCTTGATGGTTAGTAAACACTCATCAGATTTTTATCATTCCTTGCAATCAAGCTTTACGCAGTTTTTTTTTTTTCTTACATCACAGAAAACATTCAGAAGGAATACTGTTGCAGCTGAAATTGGTGGGAAGTTCAATACTTTTTCAGTTAAATTATTTAAAAATGTTCCTCATTGATGGAAAGCAGTTACGTATTGAAATGCATTATTTCTAATAACATTTCTGTGGTTTTTAACTTTTTAAATAAATTTGACATAGGACAAATGGTAATTTGTATATAAAGAACTTGGTAAAAGAATTTGCTTAATGTAAATATAAATAGTCACAATTAGTATAGACCCATCAATATATTTTTGATAATTTTTCATGTATGGTAAAAATTAAAGTGGCTAACTGATATATTCTGATACAAAAAATCAAAGTTTTGAGAGTCAGTGTGGGAAAATAGGAGGTTTTTAGACTTTCTTAAAAGACTTTGTTAAAATTTTAAGACAGAATTTTTCTTGACATCATTGTTTGTCTTGACATCTAACTTTGCACTCTTTGATAATAATGTTTTTAAAATGTGCATAATCAAAACTAGTAGTTATAGCCTCTGTTAACATACAATATATGTTTTAAAGCTTCATGTATGCCTGTTTTGACCCAAAGTTGTGGAAGTATCATGTGTTAAGTTCTTTTTGTTCTCCTTTTCTTTGTTCAATTACAGCTGAAGTGACTATGTTATTAAAGTATATGCATATATGGAATCTTGTGTACTTGATTTTTTTTTTCTTTTTAAAAATTTTTTTGCTTGTTTTAGGTAAGGAGGAGAGCTTTGGTATATGCGATGTGATCACAGACTAGAAACAGATTCTGTAAACTACATGTCACCATTCTGAAAGAAGAAACAGCTACTATAATTTAGTAAAATACTTTGCAAAATTATTCTTAAGTAAGAGTACTATCTTCTAAATACTTGGTACTTTTAAAAATAAAGGTATCTATGAGAAAGATTTAAAACCAAAGAGATTTTTTTTTTCAAGTAATGGGGCTTACAACTCTGAATTAGTATGGGGTAATAGTTAAGAGTGTGGGCTCTGGAATCAAATGCCTGGTTCTGTCATTCATAGGCTGTGAGATCTTGGGCAGTTATTAACCTTTTGTGCCTTCTTTTTTCTCATCTATAAAATGAGGATGAGAGTAGTATCTGCTTCATCAGTTCATTGAATTCAGTCGCTCAGTTGTGTCCGACTCTTTGCGACCCCATGGACTGCAGCATGCCAGGCTTTCCTGTCCATCACCAACTCCAGTGCCTGGCATGTGGTAAGAAGGTCGATAAATGTTAGCTCTAGGGTGGTCGTGCTGTGTAGCCCCCTGAATTGTGCATGCATAGTCTGCATAACTGCATGCTGCAGCTCTAGTTAGCTGCCAGTTACTGTTTTCATAACTATTATTAATCTGGTAATTCCATTTTGCTATCCAAGTGTTTGTCTGATTGTATGGTCCTAGAAATGAATTCTTTAAATATTTAGGATGGAAAAAACCTTGGGTGGCATTTATTTAAGACAACTGGCATAGCTAAATTGGTCAGTTTCAAGTGTTGATTACAGCATACAGGGTTGTGTTGTCATTCCTCATACAATTATGTGGAGCCCTGGTGCTATCTGCCAGCTCCTTAACACACATCCCTGCTCCCTCCCTCCTGACCAGTGACTGTGGCATGCAATTCTTAGGCTCGGCTTTACCTTCCTTAACTTCCTTCTCTTTTCTGTGGTGGTTCTGTCTGACTCTTGCAACCCCATGGACTGTAACCTGCCAGGCTCCTTTATCCATGGGATTTCCCAGGCAAGAATACTGGAGTGGGTTGCCATTTCCTTCTCCAGATAATCTCCATGACCCAGGGATCAGACCCAGATGCAGGTGACACACTTTGGTTAGTCTGGACCCCAAATACTAGTATTTCAGGCAAAAGAGTGCAGTAAAGCCCTCAATAATGGGGGTTTTCTGTGGGGGTACCTCAGAGGGAGAAGAGTTACTGCACAAACACTCCCGCACCGCACATATGGTTAGCCATTCAGTTAATTCGAGAATATCCTGGAGATCAAAGTTGATCTAGAGACAAGGAGCCAGGATTCTTGCTGCTACTCTGTGGAATTAAAAGTACAGCTTGTTCCCCTCTCAACAAAGGCTATTGAGCACAAACTGGGTAATAAGGCTAGACTTAAAGATTTGGTTAGCATTTCTCAAGTCCCTACCATGTGCCAAGCATTGTTCATAGGAAAATTAATTCATCAGTATCCACAATGAGTCCACTCCACACAGAGAGAGGGCAATCTGGAAGAATTACAGTCCTTTGTGTTAAGGCTGTTTTTAGAAGTATGCACAGCATACTATCAAATACAAAATGAGGGGCCTAGAGCCTGGGTAGATCGCTGCTCTCCTCCTCCCAGCTCCACACCCAGCATAGCACAGCTGGCCCAGCTCTGGCACCTTGTCCTTTACATTGAACCCTATTATAGTTGCAATTAATAGTGTCATTGGTTGTTAATATCTTTGTCCTCCACCAGAATGAACTCCACATTCCCCCTTGTCTTGTGCACTTCTGTTTTGTCATTGCTGCTGCAAATGCTTGACAGTTAATAGGCATGCCATAAATATGTGTATGGATAAATATGAGAGTAAATGGGACTGACGTTGAGCCTAGCTTTAGGGAGAGATTTGTTTATGAGATTGGAATCACCGGTAATAATCAGAATATAAACCACCTAGCAGTTTATCTGAAAAGGCTAGTATTTGGGTTAAAGTGTCAGGAGGCAGTTTAATTCTTTAAAGTTCTTCTTTATTCTTCATTAAAGAAGAATCAGGCACTGTAGCTGACTGCTGGGTTGGCAGGGGACGGGGGACAGGAAGGCTAGATACGTACCAAAGAAGTTTCGGGATTTTTTTAAACTAAATTTCTTTTGTAAATTAGTTCTTTATCCGTAGGCTTATTTTGGGAATTCTGAATGGCTACAGCTTAAACATATAGCGGTTTTCTGAGTTATTTCTGTCTTTTTTTCTTCTCACGGGCTGTGACATTCCCCAAGGGACAAAAAGACTGAAACTCCAAGTTCTCTAAAATACACAGAGGGCAATGGCGTGAGAATGTCAGCGGCAATAATTGCTGGCCAGAAGTGCTGTTGCGTTGACAGCTGATACCAAGCCGGTCGGGTTGAACTCCGCCGCCCCGCCCCTCCGCGCTGCGTCAGAGGGGTCACGTAGCCTGCGCCTCGCGTCCTGATTGGCTGCGTTGGGGGCGGGCGTGTCTGCGGGTTCACAGGTGGCCGGGTCAGTGCTGCTGAGGGGAATTGGCCGGCGGCTAGAGACCCGGAACTCGTGCCGAGTACAGAGCGGACACTAACAGGTGAGTTGTCCAGGTCCTACACACCTGTGGGTGTTCGTCACCGGGCATGCAGCGGCCTAGAGGCTGCAGTCTGGAGTTGGGAGTTGTCCACCATGAAGACAAACTCCCCGTCAGCTGCCTCAGCTCCGCCTGGGTGCTGGGTGGACGCCGGGGCGCCGCCGGCCGGAAGTTTCCGTTAGAATGCGCATGCCCCACATGACAGGCGTGTGGTTTTCGGTCTCTCCCCAACACAGTCTTCCTTGGGCCCTCGTTTTTTCTTTTTTACAAACACTGGGGTTAATTTGAAACTGAGCAGATCATATGTGTTATCACAGTCGAACTTAATTGAACTACTAGTGTTCGTCGAGTGGGCCGTTATTATGAAAATTGTGCATATTACAGAAGTGGGTTTCACGCCCCAAAAAAATGGTTAAGAAAAATGAAGCATCACAAAAATAGACCACTTTGTGATTTAACAAATATTTTCCTGGATTATTACTATGGACAGAGCACGGGGCCAGGAGCAGGCTTGAGCTAGGCTTTTGGGTTTGAATGCGATATCTGGTCTTTTTTTTAGCTGAGCAACCTTGAGGTACTTTGCTTTCACCTGTTAACTCATCTTTAATATAGGTTGTTGTAAGGACTTAATGAGTTTCTGAATATTCTGATTCATGGTGTTAATCTTCACAATCACCCAGTTTGTAACCTTGACAAACATCGAATGTTGTCACTTTCCTGATGCTCAAACTGAGGCACAGAGAAGTGACTTCCCCACGTCATAACACAACTAATGATCCAGAACTAGGCCGAGGCAGCCCGCAGCTTTAACCACTACTTTAAGTTGTAGTGCACTTGGTTTGTCGCTGCATTTCCATTGACAGATACTTACTTTGTTTCTCTATGGACCAAGTTCTTTGCTGGGTACAGGGGATAAAGTAGAACTGCACTCAGACCCTGTCTTCCAGGTGCTTGCAATCTGGTTCAGGTTATTCATAGTTAGACTGCAGGGTGCGCACAAATCCTGCTAAAGTTGTTTGCAAAATGTTGTGAGTATAGGTACTTTTTTTTTTTTGAAAGAGAGCCTCTTACTCACACCATATTCTATGATGGGTCTGTGATCCAAAGGTATGAAGAAATGTTTTAGCAGAAAAGCTAGTGCCTAGTGTAATGTCTGTCACAGAGAATGACCTAAACAAACAAACCCCAAAAAATTGGTTGAAAGAGTGAAGAACTTACGGGAGTGTAAGTGCCACAGTAGGGTCAAGAGCAGGGTGCTGGGGAAGAGCACACTTGAAAGTCATCTGCCCAGGCACGCCTCTTAGAGTCAGCAGTGCCAGTCAGGCGAAAGGTAGAGAAACATTTTATCATAGGAACAGGGCAGTAAACCATCCCTACTCTCATGTAGAATGAGACAGAAATCACACATGAACAACTGCAGCTATGACAAGTGGCATTCCCTGGTGGCTCAGATGGTAAAGAATCAATGCAGAGAACTGGATTTGATCCCCGGGTTGGGAAGATCCCCTGGAGGAGGGCATGGCAACTCACTCTAGTATTCTTGCCTGGAGAATCCCCATGTACAGAGGAGCCTGGCAGGCCACAGTCCATGGGGTTGCAAAGAGTTGGACACAACTGAGTGACTAAGCACACAGAGGAACAGTCCACGGTGCCAAGACAGCCTATTTGGGGGACAAGAGGCCTCATCTCTTCACAAAGGGCAGGAAGCCTTCCCTGAGAAAGTGACACTTAGACTTAGTAGGATTGTGGGCATGGGGAACAGCCCTCAGTCTTTAGAGACCCTGTGATGGGAACAGGTAGAGCGCCAAGGGCTGGAAGGAAGTTGGTACAGTTAAGTGTAGGCAGAGGGGGACAGGAGATTTGGGTAATGACAGAGCCTAAGACAAAGAGGCCTTAAAGGCCATGGTAAAGTAGATATTTACTTTATGTCTCTATCCTAAAGTGCGATTGAAAAGTGTATTGCAGGGAAGTGACAAGATTACATTTTGAGAAGCTGGAATGAAGTTTCCATGGATTAACAAGCCCTGGATAAGGACAGGATCTCTGAGGAGAAACTCTAAGGTAAGAAGAGGAGATCCTAGAACCAAGCCTTGAAGATGAGCCTGCAGAGGAGACAGATAAAGGGTGGTCAGAAACAGAGGAAGGAAGGAGGACCAGGGGAGTAGGAAGTCTTGAAAGTCAGGTGTGAGTTAATTTCCCAAAGAAAGTGGTCACCTGTGCTGAAAGCTGCAGATGTCAAAAGAGGAACTAAAACTACTTATTGGCTTTAATCACATGAAAGTTGTCTTTATGGGAAGTTATGTAAATGGGAAGAGAGGAAATGGAGAGAAAAGAGGCTGTCCAAGAATTAATTGAGGGGAAGAGAAAAATAATTTTAGCTGGAGGGGCAGTGAGAAAAGGAGCCATTGAGGTGAAGGGTGGGAACCTCAGAGAGGAGGATTCAACTGAAGAGTGAATACGTGAGAAAGAAGGGCTCTAGAGATCTCAGGCTAGAGTGGCTGGGATGAGCACAAGAGCAAAAATTACCTGGAAGATGAAAGGAATAACTCTAGGGAAGGGGAAACAGCAGAAGGTTTATGTTTGGTGTGGTGAATTGCACTCCTTTCTTTGTACTAGTTAGATGCAAGGGTATTTGGGTTGAGAGTGAATGAAAGAATTGGTGTTGGGGGAAGCTGGAGGTCTGAGCTGAAATTTGACATCGTTGTGAAGGGTGTGAAAGAATGAGCTGACCAGAGATTGTTTTAGGATGGTCTAGCAGAGGGAGCCAAGTATGAAGCAAAGGCCGGGAATTAGACACCTGGCTCCTTTGGGGAATTGCAAAAATAGTAGGGGAGTGAGGATTCCCCTACTATTTTTGCCAAGTGGCACTAGTGATGAACCCACCTGCCAATGCAGGAGATGTAAGAGACACAGGTTTGATCTCTTGAGTGGGGAAGATCCCCTGGAGGAGGGCATGGCAACCCACTCCAGTATTCTTGCCTGGAGAATCCTATGGACAGAGGAGCCTGGCGGGCTACAGTCCATAGGGTCACAGAGAGTCAACACGACTGAAGCGACTTGGCACGCACGCACAAGGATGGAGGCTAGCTAGAAACAGAAGCTACGTTTAATATGACATAACAAAGGAGACATCACAAATTATGGGGAAGGAAAGGATTGTTCAAAAACGGTGCTTAGAGATAGCTAAACTATTGATAAAGTCTATTTACCTTCTCCACTCACAACCAGAAATTTCAAATGAATTAAAGGAGCTAGCTTTTAAGATTCAAACAATATAGACAGAAATAGGGATGAATTTTTATCTTCTCATCTGATGCATAAAAGCAGTAGGAATCCTAAAGGAAAGGGAAACTTCCCTAACTCTTTGACCAATTAAAATTAACTGATTTGTCCTAACACAAGCTATACTACACTAAGTGAAATAAGCCATGGTCACCATGACATTCCACAGCTAACATGATTTCCCATGACTCCACCGGGCAGTCACATGGCATTCCTTGTTTTACCTGGCTGAGACTTATTTTAATTCTGGATTTATAAAAAAAGATTTTCACAAATTCTCATAAAATAGTATTAATTTATTAACTCATTTTTAAACAAAACAAATTCAGTGGCTTATTTTGAATAATAGCTATTCAGCAAAAAATACAATATAAAATTAAAATTGACTCTCCTCCTTAAAAAGTATTTGCTTTACCTGAACATCAACTTTAAATATAAAATACATTTTAAAAAATGGGTATGTGTATAAATGTATATGCCCTAAACAGAAACAGAGTTGTAAGAAACGAAATTTATGTCAAAATAACATTTGAGGTTTGTGAATCTTTGAACTCCCTGTGGTTTTGCTGCTGATCTGTTAAATGGAAATAACTACTTCATAAGTTGTTGCAAAGCTCAAAGAGGGTATTTATTAAGTTTAAGATGGGAAACAGTATATGACAGTTACTTCATCAATTATTTAAACAGCTCTATTTACTACTCCACATGAGTAGTTTACCTGTCTTAATTTGTCCATTTTATTTCCATGCTTACTATTTGTAGCTCAGATTTGTGTTTGTATTCTAAGAGAACCTGTATTTTCTTTTTTACAGGTATGATTTGTACATTTTGAGTCTCAGGACGGTGGGAATTAGCCAGTGGATTGCAGGCATGTTGTGGAAGTTGCTGATGAGATCCCAGCCCTGCAGACTCTGTTCTTTCCGAAAAATGCTATCAGCTCCAAAATACGGACCTTTTCTAGCATCCTTCACCTATACAACTGATAGTCAGTCAAAGAAAGAAAATAAAAAGACAGTAGAAAAGCTCTTTAAATTGTCAGTTGATATCAGGAAAATTCGAAGATTAAGGGGCTGGGTACTTCTGGAGGATGAAACCTATGTTGAAGAAATTGCAAATATTCTACGACAGCTGGGTGCCAATGAGACTGCTGTAGCCAGTATCTTGGAACGCTGCCCAGAAGCAATTATCTGCAGTCCAACTGCTGTTAACACCCAAAGAGAACTCTGGCAATTAGTCTGTAAAAACGAGGAAGAGTTAGTCAAGTTAATAGAACAGTTTCCAGAATCTTTCTTTACTGTTAAAGACCAGGAAAACCGGAAGCTGAATATTCAGTTCTTTCAAGAGTTGGGACTCAAAAATGTGGTCATTAGCAGATTTTTGACAACTGCATCTAATATATTTCATAATCCTATTGAGAAGAATAAGCAAATGATAAAGATTCTCCAAGAGAGTTATCTAAATTTAGGTGGCTCCGAGGCCAACATGAAAGTTTGGCTTCTAAAATTGTTAAGCCAAAACCCATTTATTCTGTTAAATTCTTCTGCAGCTATAAAGGAAACACTAGAATTTTTCCAGGAGCAGGGTTTCACAGACTTTGAAATTCTCCAGCTTCTCTCCAAGCTCAAAGGATTTCTTTTTCAACTTTGCCCAAGAAGTATACAGAACAGTATGTCTTTCTCTAAAAATGCTTTTAAATGTACTGATCATGACCTGAAGCAGTTGGTTTTGAAATGTCCTGCCCTTTTATATTACTCTGTGTCAGTTTTGGAGGAGAGAATTCAGGGACTATTAAAAGAAGGAATTTCCATAGCTCAGATAAGAGAGACACCAATGGTTCTTGAATTAACTCCACAAATAGTACAATACAGGATAAGGAAACTGAATTCCTTAGGCTGTGGAATAAAGGATGGACATCTATCAAATCTAAATGGGACAAAAAAAGAATTTGAGGCTAACTTTGGTAAAATTCAGGCCAAAAAAAGAAGGCCATTATTTAACCCTGTGGCACCATTAAATGTTGAAGAGTAACTTGCTGACTGATGTTGCTTTTTTTTTTAACCAGTGCAGAGTGAAACCAAGTAGCAAAAACTTAAGTGATTCAGGAATATTGTGGGTACCAGTAATTTTAAGAACCTACTTAGCTTCTGAGTTGTGTTTAAATTACCTCTAAGTAGATGATCTCTGACTCAGCTGCTATACTTGAAAATGTAAATTGCATTTTAATAAAGTTTGTAATTTTGTCCTTGAGCTATTAAAAAAAAAACTACTATTAAATGGCACGAGTGTGATATTTTGTAAGTGAATAGTTTTTAGAAACTGACAAGTGCACTCCCTTCAAATTATGGGTACATTTTTATTGATATAGCACATTTCATCTGGGATGCAGACCCAGCCTTCTTTCTCACCACCAGCTCTGAAACATCACTCCACTATGGTCTGAATCCTGTAGTTAGTGTTTGGTGAAACATTAGCAAATTTCTAAAACATTTTGGTGGAGAAAGTTGATTTTATCTCCAGGTTGAATAGGTATCTTTGAGAACCAAGTATTACCCATCATAAGGAATAATTAAAACTTATTTATGTGGTCAGTTTGTTTAAAATTGACGGTTTTATTTCATAAGACACTTCTGTGTGCATATATTACTCTCCCTTTTTTACAGATGAGGAATCAAGCTTAGAGAGCCATTCAGCTGCTAAGTGCCAGAGCCCAGATTTACTGAGATCTCTCTTCTGTTCAAAACTTGTGAACAGAAAAAGGATTGCTTACAAGCTGGCATAAGAAAAAGTCACCCCTACCTGACATGCTAAAAGAGTGAGTATCAACTACAAATTCAGGAGTTTTTATGAAAACGCCTCTGTAAAATTCCTTAAATTTAAAATGATCTAATTCATATTCATTTGAAGTACAGCTTTTAAGGAAACCGAGAATCCAGGTCTGACTGTAATATATGAAAGGTTAAGTGTGTGATGGTTGGTACTGATTTTAGTTAAGTTTTAAGTTTCTAAGTTTTGTTTCAAGATAAGTACTACCCAGATAAAGACTGGCTCGCTTTCAGCAGTGGAGTTTGAACTATGTGACAGATACAGAAACAGTTGACTCTTGACACTCAAGCGTATGTGCACTATGTGTGCAAGGCCCTTAAGTAATGAAAAATATATGAAAAGTGGAGACCACATCTTCACTTTATTCCTTCCTTCAGCAAATGCAAGTAACCCTTACAGTCCTATCTATCTGTTCAGTTCCTTAGTTAGGAGACTGAAAGGTATCTCTCTGCAGCATCTACTAAGTGCTAGGCATGTTGTGCTTTACAACTCTTAAGAGCTGAGAGTACCATTGTTTATTGTTCTAGCAGATGAGGACACTTTGGCACAGAGAGGCTAAGTCACTCACTCAGAGTCATCCAGAAATGTTTGTTCAAGGGGAGCATGGCAGTCAGTAGAGTCAGGGCAGAGTTAAGTGATGGGAAGAGTGACAAGATGAACAGCACAGGTCTAAGGAGCAGGATCTCATTCCAAATGTGATGGGAAATCCTTTGGCAGAGTTTTGTTTATGCTTGCTGCCCTGACAAAATTATCAGCAGTGTTCTCTTTCACCCTCAAAAGTGTCTCAGTTTGAAATGCATTATTCATTATATGGTCACCTTGGTAATTCTATTACTGATGTCAGTCTTGAGATGCCCAACTTGAGCAGAGTTTTCAAACAGAAAAATAGTGAAGTCTGGAGTTGTGAGAAATCAGGACTGGAGATAGATACCTGGAGATCATCTGCTTATCTGCTACAGCTCTAGGTGAAACTGCCCAGAAAGAGGATAAATTTGTAGTAGTGGCAGACCAGGTCTGGAATGGGTTGACCAGAGTAAGTCTGCCAAGAGAAAAGGACATTTTCAATAATATTGAATGCCATGAGGAGGTCAGCTAAGATAAGAAATGACCAGTGGATCTGGCAAAAGGGAATCATTGGTTGGCCCTGTCAAGAGTGATTCTGGTGGAATGAGACAATTAAGAAGGCAACTGGAGTGGGCTGAGAGAATAGGAGATGAGAGAGAGTCAGGGACTATATCGTTTTTCAAGAAATTTTGCTGCAAATGGAAGCAGAAAATGGAGGTAATGAAATCGAGTAATTTTTCTTTAAAGAAAGGAAATACTGGAACATGTTTATATGCCAGTGGGTATGACCCAAGGAGAAAGAGATGGGTGATAGGTGGAAAATGAATTAATACTAAGGATTAAGATCCTTGAGGAAGTTTAAGTGGGCTTTGCTTTGGGTAAAAGCAGAGACATTAGTTCTGGCCTATGCCCGGCCCACAGAGCATGGGAACACATGGAGGCAGGTTGGAGGAGTGCGCGTTGTGAGAGGCAGAAGAGTTGATGTCTGGTTGCCTCTTTTTACAGAGAGATTTAGAATGGGAGAAAGGGAGTGCAGCAGGAGGGGTAGGAAGCGGGGGAGTGAAACTAATTTTGAGGAGTAGGGACGTGAACAAACAAGAAAGTATGTAAGAAAGTTTAGCAGAGTTGAGTAGCCATTTGTGCTTTGTGGCCATTAGTGTAAAATGCTTTGTGTAAATTCAATACTGTAAAACAATTATCCTTCAATTAAATAAGTAAAAACTTTTGTCAGTACACTAGCAAACCAGAGGCAGTTGTGGTTATAGAAATACATTTGTAGCTTAGTCTAACTAGAAAAGTTTAAACTAAAAAAATCCACATTCATGGTCAAACATGCAGTATACCAGCTTTATTTTCCTTTAAACCAAATCCTAGTCCATTACTTTTTAGCCATGAAACTCTGCTTTTTCCCATTCTTGCATTCTTAACCCAGATCATCCTACAAGTAAAATTTTAGATACTCAAAATCAACAACGTAGCAGGGGGAGATACCCTTACATAAAACACTAGAGTCAAATTTCATTTCCTCTGTGGAAAAAAAGGCTCTAACAACAAATTACATTATTTCCTTTAAACAATTTATGTATAAATTCATTTCTGTGGCAGAATGCAATTAGCTGCCAAATAAATATGATCACGCAGAAGACTTGAAGTGAGCTCAAATCACACAGCTTGGTAAATCAAGCATACAGGCAGCACTACAGCAGCAGAATGAAGGACTAATTATTGAGTAGTCCCCTTTGTTTCTGGACATAGACTGGAGAGGTTGCGACTGACACTAATTCAAGCATTCGCTGGAAAGGTTGTGACTGACACTATTTCAAGCATTATGGGAAACTCAACTAACATTGGAGGTTAGCTTGTTCCATATTTGTACAAAGGGGATACAGATACTTTCTTCCTAAGGGCCTCATACTGATTTAATAAGAGAATTTATGGACCATACCCAATAGGTAAGTAAGTGCCCAGTAAGTATCAGTTTTCTTCCTTCTTCCAGTTGGTTCCCTTCCCTTTGAATCATTTCTGGCCAGTAAGCAGTCTTAAGTTGGTTCCACATCAGCTTAGGACACAGAAGTGCCCTCCTTACTTTATAATTCCTCCATCAATTCCCGAAGTTGAACAGTGCACAAGAACCACCTGCAGAGGTTGTTAAACTGCAGTCTCGAATTCCACCCTGCAGAGATTCAGGAAGTTGCTGTTAAACCTAAAAATTTGCATGTCTGATATTTATTAGAGTTGTTTAAAATATATGTGGACTTGATTGTTGGCATCATAATTCATATTTGGAGATGTTCTGTCATGTTTGTGCGTTAGTACCGAAAAATTTAAAAACTGGCTACAGTGCTTTCTGATTTGCTATATAACTAAAATTTTAAGAATACCCCGTTTTAAAATTCCCTTTATTTCCTTAGATCTTTATGAAACAGTTCATCTTTTGCAGATCATAGTGCTTTATTAAACATATTCATGTATTCTTTTCCCATTTCTTTTAACACAAAAAATTTACTCAATCATCAGTAATTTTCATCTGACATTTCACTAAGTACAGGATTCATGATGTCAACATTATTAGATCAGTCATTCTAGTGGGTCTCACAAGTTTATCCTCATTATGCCAAATACCCACTCAAAAGATAAGGTGAATAACAGATGCCTCCAGGTGTATACAACAACCTCAGTTTCTTGAAGTTAGCTAGTACTGTTCAACAGGTCAGATTGCTAGTCTACAAAAATAAACTGGAAAAGACTCGTGTACAGCTTTACATATCAAATGGCAAGTTCATTTCAACAAGAACCTCTACAACTAACTGTTCATTTGTACAAGTTCTCTGCTATCATTGCAAAGCCTCTCCTGAACAAAGTTATAAGTTTAAAATTTAAAATAAGCTTGATGAAATAAAATGTACCAGGTGGCTTTTCTGTAGCAGAAATTAATTACAACCATTTTTTCTCAAGCAATTTTAAAGACAAGCCAAGTTGAAAATAAATATTCAAGCACACAGTAAACTAAAGTCTATATGTAGAAATTCAGGTACAAAGCACAGCAGAGCCTATGACGACAATTTAGAAATATAAACTAGCAACAAAGCAATAATTTCTTTCAAATAACAGGAAAAAGTTCTCCAATACCATTATTGAGATCATTTAGTGTTTATTAATTTCAGAGTTTTTTTAAAATCCTGTTTCTAATTATATTTGATCGCAATATACCAACAGATACCTCCCTGGTGGCTCAGAGAGTAAAGCATCTGCCTACAATGCGGGAGACCTGGGTTCAATCCCTGGATCAGGAAGATCTCCCAGAGAAGGTAATGGCAACCCACTCCCAGTATTCTTGCCTGGAAAATCCAAATCGAAGGAGGAGCCTGGTAGGCTGCAGTCCACGGGTCACAAAGAGTTGGACACGACTGAGCGGCTTCACGTTCTTTCTTTATGCCGACAGATGAATCATACTGGATGAAGCAAATGGCAGCTAAATTTCTGGCTAGCTCCCTAATGACGCTCCAGATTTGTACATGGTAGAAAGGCTCAGGAAACTGGGTTTGCATAAATCCCTGCTGGTACTTATAAAAGCTTTTAAAAGTTAAGTTTTGTTCTTATCCATTTGTTGATCCACATCATTAATGTAAAACTCTTAAGGGTTTGCAAACCAACACTTAAGCTTTGGGTGTTGGGAGTGATTTAAGTTCTCAGGAGTGCTATTTTGACTTACTGACTTAAGAGTATCACCTCCTTTCTTCCCCTTGCTCATTAAAAAAAAAAAAAGTGAAGAATGGTAGCAAATTTCCAAACTTAAAAAAAATTAAGATTTTTCAACCTTGGATTAAAGCCTTAATTAAGAGATATGCTGAACATATATTACACTTTAAAATTTTTTATGAAACTGAACATGAAACAAAGATGAATTCCAGCTAAGTCATACTCTTTTAGAATGAATGAGACATGATGAGACGTTATTAAGATATGACACGCTTATCATCCGTAACCAAAAAATTCAATTCCCTGCCTGAAGTTGATGTGGAAAATGATACAAAAGTCTACTGCTGCTTTAAAGGACTGTAAGATAACATTTTAAAAGCCTGTCAAACATTGATAGCACTTATCAATATACTTAATCTTCAGCATTAATCTGTGGAGCCCATTCCATTCAATTTAAGTCACATATCCATAGTTGCTTTTACTGTGTTTTTTAAAAGGGGTACTGCTAATAATTTAAGCCATCCTTGTGCCAGGTGGCACAAGTGGTTAAGAATCCGTCTGCCAAGCAGGAGACATGGGTTTGCTCCCTGCGTTGGGAAGATCCCCTGGAATAGGAAATCACAACCCACTTCAGTATTCTTGCCTGAAAAATTCCATGGACAAAGGAACTTGATGGATTATAGTCCATGGAGTCACAAAGAGTTGGGCACAACGAGTATGTAAGCACGTGAGACAAAATAGATGTGAAGAATTCTTTTTATATCTTGTATGCTTCAGATAATTCTTAAGAACTTAAAATGATTTATGTGTTCCTCCCTAATATGAAACTCTTTCAACATAGCTTCTGACCAGCAAAGAAATGTTCCTTAGGCACTGTAAGGTTTATTAATGATGGAGCATGAACCCAGGTTGAAGTGCACAATTTGGTATAACTACTGACAGTTAACAAGCACTATCTTATCTGCTGAGAGCAAGAAATGCCTTTACCCCACTAATCCTGAGATTCTTGAGGGAAAACTAATTTCACAAACAACTTTTGAAAGAATCCATATATAATAATAATCCTAAGAACCGCATATATTCAGGGTATTAGAAAAGATGTTTTCTTTTGTAAGGCATCAATGATTAAATTAATATAATGCATGTCTAATACAAGATGGTTAATACTCACAAAACCATGAATCTTTTCTTTTAACCTTCTCTAGTTCCTGCTACTTTTACCACCTTAAATAATAAAAGAATGCCTCTTGGTCTAATCAACTATGGTTATTAAAAAAACTAATTAAAACATCTGAAACTATTAGGCACATCAAAGGTACAGTTTATGTAGTTCAAGGTTCCCTTCTTAAGGGGTAGATGAGTTACCTGGCACATTATACATATGGAACTGTAAAGATCATCCACTAAATTCAACTTTCACATTTTTAGTTAAACTGAACGACTTATATAGTAAATATTCAAATACACCATATCTTCAGTTACAACTGAATAAGTGTAACATTTTACCAGATAAAAAGCTGGAATTTAAGTATGAGAAACCTTCATACACTGTGCTAGTATTGGTCTCTTCTCTTTAGACAAAAGCCAGTCAGTCAGTCATCAATACTTTCAACACAGCAGTTAGAAGATAAACGTCCAAAACAGGTGACTTGGTTGTAGTCCATAATTTAGCAATTCAATGCCACTGGCATCATAATGCTGTGGAGAACAACTGTATCTCCATATTTTAGTCAGATTTGTCTTTTTTCTTTCCTGTTAAGGGCACTTTGTTTACAACAGCAGACCCAACAGCTGTGACACCTCCAGCCACAGCAGACACGCCCCCTTTCACCAGCCCTATTCCCATGGAAGGCACAGTTGTAACAGCTGTTTTGGTCACCTCCAGACTCTTTCCACCAATCCAAGCCACGCCACCAATGGTGGCACCAACAGCTCCCTTTGTAACACTGAAGATACCCCCAGTCACACGGGACAGCATGCCTGGTTGCTGTTGTGGGTGATCTTTCATTGAACCTAATGAGAGAAAATATAAGACAGTCAAATATAAGTCTTTATAAAAACAGTACAAATCACTCAGTAGCCTGACTTCCTAACAATCAGGAGATTGTACTGATGAGGTCAACAAAATAAACACAAATCTGATCAAGACAGGAAGAGCTATTCCCTCAAGGTTATAACTGTCCATATTTTTAAAACATCTTGGTCCAATGCTAAGTCTTAGTATCTATGAGAAGAAATGCTTTAAAGACTTGACAACTTTCATAAAACAGAAAACTATTTTAAGTGTTTCCTTGATTTACAGTTTTGTTGCTGTTAATTTTTTAAAAAGCTTTGTTTTATATCCTAAAAGGAGCATGAGAAAAAGAGAAATATATTTAGCCCTTATTTCCTTGATAGAATTCAGTCATTATTGAAAAAAGCTTCCTCATTTAAAGCACTGGTTCTCAGGGTGTGGTCTGGAACCCCTGAGTATCCCCAGGACTATTTAAGGGGTTACAAACTGCTTTCAAAGTAATACTAACACATCAATATTAACATGTCTTTTCACTTTCATTCTGTCACCAGTCTACAACAGGATTTTCCAGAAGCTAAATGATGTGCAGTAACACAACAGACTAAACACAGAAGCAACTATGAGAATCTAGCTCTCTTCTATTAATCCAAATATTAAAGAGATCTGCAAAAATTTTAAAACAATGTGAGGAATTCCCTGCTGGTTCAGTGCTTAGGACCCCACCCTTTCAATGCCAAGGGCCTCGGTTCATTCCCTCATTGGGGAACTAAAATCCTGCAAGCCATGGCACTGCCACAAACAAAATGTCACTCTGTTCACAATGTTATTTTTCTTTTTTTTTTGGAAAATAGTTGTATATTTTTCAAAAAATGTGTTATATTTATATGGGCCTGTTGAATTCTCTTCATAGTAAAATACTTAGTTTCTGTTTTTATTGTTAATATGGCAAGTACCAACAAAGACATAAGCTCTTTGGAATCCTCAAGTTTTGAAAGTAGAAAGCATCCCAAGATGAAATAATTGGAGAATCACTTATTTAAGTATATTTGGGTTTCTATTCTATGCGCTCCTTCATAATGTATTTTAAGAGCTAATACTATATGTAAAAACAGGAAATTTATTCATCACCTACATAAAATCTTTTTTGTAATGAGAAAACCATAGCTATGGTTAATACTTCCACAGCCTCAGTAATTTTTATAGAAGAGAATATGTGATTTAAGCATCTAGTTTGTAAAAACTCTTCATATACTCCCAGAAAAGGAACATCAATATGAGAAATTCAGATTTACTGTCCTGAGTTTTTTGTTTGTTTAATAGAGGCACTCAAATTGGCATGTAACCCAAACTCCAGCATAAAATGACTAGCAGGAAGACGTCATAAAAATTCGCTTCTGCAACCCTCAAATACACAGAGATCTTTTCTCCTTCATAATCTAGTGACTCAGGCAGCAACAACACATGAGCAATGGTGTTGTTATTTTTTTTAATTTCATGAAAAAATACCTGGTAACTATATAAAGTCAGGCTATAACCACTAAAAAGGTATAATCTCACACAAGAAAGGTAAATTCATGGATAAATAGGTTCAACTAAGACCACCAAAGCTACTAAATCGTGGTTATCAGATAACTCTGGGAAACCAACAATATTTAAAAGAGAAAAAATTCTGAAAATAGAGTTTCTTTAAATACACAAGGCACAAATTTACCTTGAGTAACATTTTCTTCTCATTGTTTGGAGAGTTTACATAATTTTACAAGGAAGAAAGCCTCACTGCTTAGTCAAAATAGCTCAGTTATAAAGATACAGCAATAGTTAAATTTATAAAACCAATTTTTTAATTGAAACTTTGAGTAATAAGCATAGTTAATATAAATTTTAAAATAGCTGGAATAAGAGACTTTAAGACACATAAACATTTGAATATATTATAAAATTATGATGGAAAGAATTACATAAGTGGTAATTCTTCTGTAATCAGGATTAGTAACACTAGGAAAAGGGGTGGGGGGGATCTTGACTTGAGGATAAAACATAAAAACCTCATGCTGAATACCTCAATAATATCCTTCTATGCTAAATTTGGTGTACATGCATTTAATGAAGACAATTTTTCTCCATCAAATCAGAAAAATTTTAATACTGTTATCACTGTGCTCTTAATTACCACCATATAAATTATTCACTTTGCAGACTACTTTTGTTTAACAGGTTGCCAATGTAAAGACACTGCTGAGGCTGTTGTCTTCCTTAACAGTCATGCTCCTGGACAGCCTTTATCTCTTTCCTGACATCTTTCTCACAAGTCCTTATTTACTTTCTCATTGAGCCCTAACTTTTGTCTTCAATACTCCAGAGTTCTAGTCCCTAAAAAATAAAGCAAAGAAAACAGCTAGTTGTTTCTGTGTATAGTCGGGACATTCAGGTGTGCATTTAGTGTTTCCAAAGATTTCTGAAGTAGAGATAAGAATAAAATGATTCCTGATGTCACGATTTTCAAACTAAAAAATAAACTAAGCAAACCCCAAGACCATATATTAAAAAAAGAAGTTACCTATTATAACATAGTCAATAACAGTTTAACAAATCTCAAGTGCCTCCTGAATCAAGTTTTTGCAGTCCATCCTTCCTCTGCACCCCACCCAATTCTTTACAAATGAAAGGATGCTCTACTTGTGAAATGGTCTTAGAAGAAGAAAAGAGCAGCAGAAAAATAGATCTTAAACAATAAAACAGTTACATAGTGTCCCTATTCATAATATCTATGCTTTCTTATTAAAAGCTAAAGTGTTTAAGTATTTTTGGAACACATTTGCTGACAAAACAGGTTGTTACTTTAATAAAGACAATCTGAACTTTAATTCACTAGGA